GAATATCTATATACGCACAAAAATATTTTGTGTTGTTTTGCTTTTACTAACTTTCCGAATTCTTCGCCATCTTGAAGCGTTTCCGGTAGTGTACATCCAGCAGTTTCAGGCAATAATAGGCATAATGCAGCTCCAATTAATGGTAAAATTCCGAATATAGTAGGTGGTAACCATGCTTCGATATAATTCTGAAATTATATCTACGATTGGTAATCTAGAAAATTTATCAGCAGCTAGCGACTTTTGTTTATCCTTTAGCACCGCATATATATATATATATATATATATATATATATGCGACTAAATTTAATTTGAATTTTATAAATGAATAAATAAATATGTTATTTATTATATATATTTACAATCGACTTATAAATTGCACTTACCAGAGATACCACGAAAGGTGCTACAATAGAGCCTACTCTAGCGCACATACTGCTCGCACCTACTCCAATGTTTCTCACGACTGTAGGAAATAATTCTCCAGAGAAAAGATAGACTGTTGTAAACGACACCGACATGCCAACAATACCGAGACACGCTAGAAGCAATCTTAACCATGCCATATCTGTAGGAAATAAATTATCAACATAAATGACTTGTAATTATCATTTTATAAGTGTCTTTTATAGATGTTATAAGTGGAGCTTTTTTGTTATTTGGTAGTAGACATAAAATTTTTTTACAAAATTTATTAGAGTTTATTGAAATTTAGATTACCACTTGATGAATGAAAAAATTCTATCAAAATGAAAAATATTTTAATAGACCTATTATAAGTTATTATTGAGGCGTTATCAAAATGTTATAAGTAAAGTAAAAAGAGTAATTTTTGCTCAAAACTCGCTTTAGATTACCCATTTAATAATAAAGCGTCATAGAAGAAAATGGCTGTGTGTTTATGTAGTATTTAATTTAGTATATAATTTCTTACTGTTTGATACGATGATTAAGAATAGACAGGCTATGCCACTTATAGAATTGCTGCAGATCAGAGTAATCCGTCGACCCAATCTGTTCATTGCCCACCATGCGACAAAGTTTCCAGGAATCTGTATAGCACCGGATACTGCGAAATTAATGAAAATATCGCCACCAACTTGGCCAATGTATTGTGATATGCCAAACAAACCCATTCCGCAAACGATCCAATTAAAGAAAATAGAGAGCGATTTCACTCGCATATTTGGCGTGCGAGACAAATTGAAAAATGAAGCTTTGTCATCCAGCGTAGATCTCTTAAAAATTCTAAAATATTATATGGAAGTGAATAATTGAAATATTTCAATAAAAAAGGGAATTGTAATTTCTTACTTGGTGCAGACAATGTTTCCTAACTACTTCGGGAATGTCCACATTTTTCACTTTATTAGTATTGGCTGCTTCCTGTAATATCTCGCATGCTTTTCTTTGTTTTCCCATAGCTAATAACCATCTAGGTGATTCAGGCACTATCCACCAATAACTTAAAAGAATAATAGATGGAAGTGTGATGGCAATCTGTAATTGTTGCCAATGTCGAAACCAAAACGCGAGTCCTGCTAGCGACATGTGGCCTAAACTGAATGGAATTTGATATAAAACGGTGATAGCGGCACGCCATTTTGTACCTACTATTTCCATACCTGAAAATATATAGAAAATCTAAAAAAATTGGCTTATTTTATTAACAAAAAAGTTATATTGATGTAACATTTAAACTGAACCTAAGTTTTAAATGTTATTGATTTTTATTGCGGAACAATTATAAGATTATAACAATCTTGTTCTATTATTTAAAACTCTTCTATTGTTTAAAATTCTATTGTTCTGCGGAAATTCTTCTTTTATTGTGGACTATATGATATCGACTATAAGTTAAAGTTTTATTCCTGGCCATTTTCAGGACGTATCTTGAATTATGTGTATGCATTAATATAAAAAATATAGGTTATTTATTAAGCATAACATTCTTTATTTAAAATTGAAATGTGAAGTTAATCCACACACACACACACACACACACACACACACACACACACACACACACGACGACACGCGACGACGACACACACACACACACACACACACACACACACACACACACACACACTAGTAATATATCTTCTGGTACGACAATCATTAAAACTTTCTCATGGAACAAGTACTAAACATAATTTATAAATATACCACATGTCACTTGATAGTAAAATATTTCTCTGTGAAGAATAAAACCCAAATCAGCAAAGTGTTAGCAGAATATCGGCAGACTACCAACAGATTTGATCAGAAAATATTAGCAGACTGATCTCATCTGAGATTACGTTCTGCTTACGTTCTATGACAGAACCTGTTGTTGCGTATATGCAGAGCCTGCTCTATTTCTGCTGCCAATCTGCCATCATATTATGTCAAACTGTGTTGCTTAGTTTTGCAACTGCTTAGTTTGTTTTTTCTGCCGCTAATCTGTTGGCATAGCATGTTAGCAAGCTCTGTTATATATCTAACAATAGTTTCTCGACATTGTCAGATGTTACAGAGATGCCGTTTGAAATTTATTGCTTTTCTACCATCAGAAATTGATAGCATATTCTGCTCAAAATCTCTTTCTGCAGGCTTGGCTGGCATTTGTTGTAAATTTGGAAAGTGTGAATTTAATCCTTAACACTTCAAAAATTAAAAAAACGATTTGTATCCGACTCGCTATGTATTAATATACTTTACAATAGTCTTTTATACTTGAAAATAACCATTTATATAATAACGTAACTAACAACCATTGTGTCTTGAAATAAGCCACTTACATATAACGTAACTAGTGACCATTGTACCTCCAGTAGCTAAGGCACTTAACAATTTCATCAGCAATAATGCGTGAAACCAAGGTACCACGGCGCATCCAATACCTGATAAAAGTTGGAGAATAACAGAAACCATCAGCGGCGTTTTTCTGCCAAATCTGTGGATATTTTCATTTCTCTTCATTTCTTCGTAATTGTTTTATAGTTATACGATTTAAAATCACATAATCGGGGACTCGTTCACTTACCTGTCTGCTAAACTGCCGAAGATTATGTTACCAAGAAGCACTCCAAACATAAGAATAGACTGTTGAACGTTCGCATAATGCGTTCGATCACAGACCAGATTCCACTAGAACACATAACAATTTTTTATTTCCCTAAGTAATTTTTAGTCAAGAACAAAAATTTTGTCGCGTCCGTCCACAGAATTGCACTTTATCAGATATACTAAATCAATAATAATATGACTGAATATTTACCTGTGATATGATGGTCTCGGGAAATATTTTTCTATCGTACTTCCATTCCGCGCATTTTATCAGCGTACCGTTAAGATGGACCATGCATTGATCCTTGGAATATTCATCCGCAGCAGGCTCCGTGCAATTGTAACTTTGATGAGGCGCCATAAAAACGATTGCTAATTGATGCCACGCTACCGGAAATTTGACCAGAGAAATGGCCAAACAGACGATGATTTGCCACCTGCCGAGATTGCCGATCGCGATCTGTACGGCGTCCACATTCGCATCAGAATCAACATGATCATCATCCTTATCGTTAGAAACTTGTTTGGTTTTCATATGTGCTGCAACTAAGAAAACAGCGTATTCGTCGGATTATCATTAAATTATGTTAATTAAGATTTTTTAAATCTTTATAGACCTATTTTACAGATTGTAACATTTTGGTAATATAAACCAAGAGAAGAAAATGAAACTTGATACAATCATTAACGTTCTTCTTTCCACTAAACTGTACAAATTTATTCATCTGCATGACATATGATTACTTTTGAAAAAAATTCTTATGCATTGTATGTTGTAATTGTATGCTTAATTATTTATGCTTGATACCAAAGAATATTTATGTTAAGAAATTTTTAATTATTCTAGTAAGATATTAAGATTTAATTAACATAAATCTTTATCATAATCGTGCTTAATTATGCTTAATGTGATGTCTATGCAAACATATTTATATTTTTGCTACGAAAATTTATTTTTCTTACAATTATATGAAATATATTATTTTGATTGAAGCATTTTTGTAAAAGAAAATTCGTTTCTAATATGTATATTTTTAATTTATGAGAATAATAGAAATTTGTAACGTTTGCTCAATCTTTATCCTGCCAGATTGATTAAATAGCTTATTCTGAAATACATCTGCATTGAAAATATAAACACGAACATATCTATTCACATAGAAACTTTGTTTGTATAACTGATAATTTATGACTATGAATATACATATAACAATTTCTAGAAAACGATAATACGAATGAATAATACTACGTGTATGAAAACAATCGCGTCTTTACATAGAAAATCTAACGAGAATTAAAAAAGTAAAAGGAAAACAATTCGCGTATTTTTCCCATCCAATACCAGAGAATTGAAATT